TCCCCAAGCGGGGTGGGGTGGGGCACCCCCAAACCCCAGAGCTCTAGGCCCCACCAAGTCATGTGCCTCTCACTGGTACGCCCCAGTGACTGAAAGGATCAGACTGGAATACTGATCCCTGAATCAGGGACTACCAGCTAGGACCTGCCTCCCCTGTTCTGGAAGCATCCACAGGGGCCAGCACAAGTCTGAGGCTGGACCTGGACCTTGCTCGGGTGACAGAGGTGCCTGGAGAGGCAGAGGTGTCCTGGGTTCTGGAGCAGGGCCCGAGCCTGCTGATGCCCTTTGAGGAGGCATAGAGGAGAAGGGCTGGGCTGCGTGCGTGTGTGTGTGTGTGTGTGTGTGTGTGTGTGTGTGTGTGTGTGAGTGGTGGGGGGAAGGTCAGTGGTCCTCTGCTCACTCTGGTCCTCTCTCCAGGCTCAGGGGGGCTGAGTCCCCAGGAGCTGGGGCACTGAAGATAAGCAGCCTCCTCCAGTCTTTTAGCCTCCCAAGCCTCAGTTTCCTTACCAATAAAATGGGGAAGTGACAGTACCTGCCTCCCAGGTCAGTGAGATGGGCAAAACAACGCTGGGAGTGGCTGAAGCAAGGGCTCAAGAAGAGGCTGATCTTTTCCCCCCTCCCCCCTCCCCTTGTTTTCCTCTTCTGGTATCTCTGTCACTGACGCAGCTCTGGTTCAAATCCCAGCTATGCCACTTCCTAGCTGTGTGGCCTCAGGCAGATTGCTTAAGAGCTCTGAGCCCACTTTCCTGATCTGTAAAACCGGAATGCTCACACCCACCTCTCAGGGTTGTGATGAGGAATGCTCGGTATCATCCCTGTCTGGGGAGGTTTCCTCTCTCCTTCCATCTCTGGCCATAACCTGAAGCCTCCGCCATCGGCGTCGTCCCCGCATCTCCCAGCCCAGCCGCGCTCTGGTGCTCACCTGCCTGACTCCCGATCGCCACCTCGTGGCCAGTTGGGAGACTGCAGGCTCAGTAGCGCAATTCAAACTGGCTTCTGGTCTGTCCTCATGGATTTAGTAGCAAAGCACCCCAAGCTTTGATAAGGGAGGTGAGGGTGACAGTGGGGTCCTGCTCGTAGAAAGGCACCTGAGTGATCTGCTGCAGATGGAAGATGCATAGGGGGCCGCCGGCCACTGGGCCCATTCCCACTGGTTTCTGTGCTAAGAACTTTCTGTACATCATTTTGTTGCTGATTGGGCTCTGATTTGGACTAGTTTCCCAAATGAAGAAACAGGTTCCTGGCATAATGGTGGGGCAACTTCAAGGTATTGAAAGTACAAATTTTCTTTATCTGGGGAGTGTGTACTGGGTTGTTTTTTAAAAAATTATTATTCCTCTTTAGGCCACAACATAAGGTACATTCTATATATGCCTGTGTATTGGGCAAAATCTCATAGTGTGCTGACTTTATTCCCAGAAAAATCAGAGGACAGGTGTGTCGGGCGTCCCCCCAACTGCCAAAGGCCTGACCAGCCCCCGGCAAGCCGGACATGGGTGCTGGCAGCTCTGGTGTTCTTGCCTTCTGCCATCTCTGGCCTCTGCATCCTGCATCAACTTATACTGGCCTCACTGGGGCCCTGCAGCTCCCACCTCTGAGCATTTGTTCTGGCTGTTCCCTCCTCCAGGAGGCTTTCCCTGATGTCTCAGGTACAGCTGATGAGCTCCCCACTTACCTCTGAGCATTTGTTCTGGCTGTTCCCTCCTCCAGGAGGCTTTCCCTGATGTCTCAGGTACAGCTGATGAGCTCCCCACTTTGAATCCTTTATGTCGCTCTCACGGCTCCTTCGTTTGCTCTGCCCAGGTGGACATGGGGCCTGGGAGGTCTGCCAAGCAAGGGCTGAAGATCAAAAGGGCTGCACAGTTGGGGGCTATCCCCATTCTCCAGTCAAGCCCCAGAGGGCATCTGAGGCAGAGCAGCGTGGGCTGCGGGACAGGAAGTCCTGGGAGGAGTCCGGGGGAGTGGTGTCTCCACCTGTCCAGTGGACGTTACAATTCTTCCAGTCCCACGGGTCCTTGGGGAGTAAGAAAATCCACAAGGCTCAGCACAGTGCGTGGTGCATGGCCAGCCTCCCTGGAGGGGCTGCCTCCTCCTGGCAGCCAGCAGCCTCCTCATGCTCTGCCTCACGGCCTGTTGACCTGTCCAGTGCGCCAGCCATTGCAGAGCAGGCTGCTGCACTGCCCGAGTCCAGAGGGGCCATTCACATCACGGTAGGGGACTGCCAGCCTGTCTGCTGTGGTCCTCCCTTTGACCGACTGCCTGATGCCTGGTGTACCACCTGTCTGGCCGCCCCTCTGCTCAGGCAGACTCCCGTTCTGTGTAGTGGCTGTACACACCTCACGGTCTCCAGTCCAGGGCTCGCGGCCTGGTGAGTTCCTCAGGGAAGGCTTAGGGGCCCGGTAGCAGCCAGGTCCACAGGTGGGACTGGGCTGGGCCTCAGACCCCTTGAAGACATTTTATAGGGTGGGCTCAGAGTCATGCTCCTCTCCTGGGACCCCCTCTCTTCTCAACTCCTGCAGGATCCATGGCCTAGACCCTCTCCAAACCCCTGGCAGACTCACCCTGGGGCAAGGGGCTTTTGTCCAAGCCTTGGTTTTCTCACCTGCTCAATGGGATAAGAGCTGCTCTGCATTGTTGTGAGGGTCAGCGAGATGATGTCTAGACTGGCAATGGGGGGATGGCCAGGGTTTGTCCTGTTCGAATCTGCCTCTAGGAAGGGGGAGGGGAGGGAGCCCTCCCACGTGCTCCCTTGTCTCCAGGGATCTCCAGGGACTCAGCGACATTTCCTCCTACCCCTGTGACTTCACCCAGGCCAGGGGGAGAAGGCCGGCTGCAGACAGGGGAGCAGTGGATTCACACAGCCTCTCCCTTCCCCCATTTTTCAGGGACAGGATTTAAAATAGTTGCTGTAGGCAAGAGTTGGCAGCCCACTGCTGGAGGGAGGGGATGGCATGGAGGCCCTTCCCACCGAGCCTAGGCCTGGGGCTTGGATGCGAAGACCCAGCCCAGTCTTGGCCCTGTGCTGTGCAGTCTGGGCTGAGTGACTTCGTTTCTCTGAGCCCCGGTGAGGCCACTCTGAAGGTAGGAGAGAGTTTCCTTGCTCCTGGGTCCCTGGGCCTGACCTTGGAGGACCAGATTGCAGGGACAGAGAATGTGGGCTTGCAGAGGCTGCTGGGGTGGTGACAAGGCCATGGGTTTGCCGCCAAACCTGGTTTTGAGCCCTGGTTCTGCTGCCCTTCCTTAGCTCTGATGTACCGAGCAGGTCATTTCTCCTTCTGGTCCTGGTCGTCGGGTTTCCCTTCCAAGACGTGGACCCGTCATACCTGCCTCTAGGGTGTTGTGGGTGCAAAGAAGGGAATGAACTGGAGGGCCTCAACATGCCTAGACTCTCGGAAGCAATGTGGCTGAGATCATCTCCCAGAGGCTGGAGAAGAGGGTGCAGGGTGTGCCCCCTAGAGGGCGCTGGTACCCACGGGCAGCGGGAGAGAAGTTGGAGGAGGGGGCTTCCAGGTGATCCTGGCCGCAGGAGTGGGGAGAGGAGGCTGAGAAGCAGCACCCGGAGGGGCTGGGGATGGGAGAGAACATTCGGACTTCAGGTCTGTGGACAGGCCCAGAGGCCTTCCAGGTGCACGACATCTGAAGATGTGCAAAGGTATACACGTGTGTGGATATACAAACATCTTCATCAACACACAGTCACACGTCTGAGCTGCCCAACTCCACACACATATCTGGACAGCACTGCTGGTAGATCCAGCTGTACATGATGCACTGATACCCGCAGACACCCAGCTTCATGCACAATACACCTGGGCAACCTAACCCCCAGAGCTGCTTCCACACACACACAGACACACATGCTCACACACGGATACTCTCCACAGGGCTCCGAGGGACCCTGAGACTGCAAGGAACACCCTTTGAGAACCAAACTCCTTTGAGTCGCTGCTCTCTCCGCCTCCCCCATCTCCCTGGACCTTCAGCCGTGTGCCAAGTCTGCATGGTTACTCAGTGTTTGACCTCAGCCTCCTGATTCTCCCGTGTCACATTACCCTGGGCAAGTTCACCCATCTTGGTTGTTAGACACCGGAGTGCTCAGCCTCCAGCCCCTCTGAGGCCCAGCCCTGCCCAAGGACATCTCCACTTGGACGCCCCAGAGACCCCCAGCTCCACGTGCCCTGGACCCGAGGGATCCAGGAGCCCACGTGGCGCGGTGACGCCCCGCTGTTGCTGTTATCTCTGGGATCTGTCCCCTTCCTGCTCTTGCTACCACCCTAGTCAAAGCCATCGTCACCTGTTGCATAGGTGGCCCAGTTGCCCCCTGCCTCCCTCCGGTCCCCCTAACTAACTGGGTCTGTGCCCTACTCCAGCTTGCCTCTCCCCTGCTTGCCTCTCCCCTGCTACTTGCGCAGCTCAGGAGACTCGCCAGTGGTGGCGTGCCCCAGGGGGGCGGCACAAGCCTGGAGCACTCTCAGGAGCTCCTCCCACCCCCACCCCCCGAGGCTCCACCGTGCTGGCTAACTTCCAATCTCAGCTTAATAGGTAGCTGCTTCTAGGAAGCCTTCCATGATGCTCTGCCCCTCCAGATGAGGGTGGGCACCCCGTAACAAGGCTTCCCTGTACCACAGCTGAGCTCATATCCCAAGGTCTACCTCCTTGAGGCACAGCACCAGTCCCTGGTTGGCAGCCTGGTGGCTGGCACTTCTTGTTGCTCAGCTGAATGAACGAATGAATGGCATTGGGGAATGGGAGAGAGTGGGATGGGGTGGACGCAATTATTTTAAGGATGGAAATGGTTCAGGATTGGGATAGGACAAGGATGGGGAGATGAGGTTCATAGGATGGAACAAGGGGGCAGATTGGGCAAGACCAGGGACCCCAGGCCCTCCCTCATCCTGACCTGCTGTCTCTGGCGCCACCAGGAAATCTCTACTGTCTCATGCAGGACTGGCTCAGGCCCAGAACAGGCCCTCCCCCCAAGGAGAGGCACCAAAGGCGTGTACAGGTTGGTTTATTTACAAATATACTGATGTCTCATCTTTTTTTTTTGTTTGTTTCCATTTTCTGCTTTTGTGGGAAGAGGCAGAAGGTGAGAGTGGAGGGCAGGGTCAGGGTGGTGACGTGGTAAACGCTAATAAATAATTTAACAATGACAAGTCATTAAATAAAATGTGTCTGGGGATGGCGGGTGGGCAGTGAGAGTCTGTACAAGGAAAACAGGAATGGCCGGTGGCCCAGTCCCCACACCTGGCTGGGCTGGGCGTCCCCCAGGACCCTGGTCAGGGTGGGGTGCCAGCCAAGAGGCTCACGGGAACCGCACCTTCCGAGGACCAAGTGTTGGAGGGTCCTTCCGTTTCCCCAGCCCCCAGGCCTCATGTGCCTGGGCGTATGGGTCTGTGAGCCTCTGTGTGTGCGGGTGTGAGTGTGTGTGTCTGTGTGCATGCGTGCGAGCGTGAGCCGTCTTCCCCACAGGGCAGAGTGAGCCCCAGCGCACAGGCTCTCTCGGACAGAAGGTGAACCTGCACCGAGCGGGTGCCCAGAGCTCAGCCGCAGCCAAGCAGGGGTCAGCCGGTTCGCCTGCCCCTGGGGCTCCGCGTGTGTGAAGCAAGAGGGCCGTTGGCTGCCTGCCGGTAGATGAGGCAGCCTCACTGCTGGGGGCAGCTGAGCCCCTAGAGGAGAGGCCACCACCAGCCCCGTGGCAGGGCATGACTGCTGGGCCCTGCTCACCTGCCTTGGGGAACCCCCTCCACGTCCTCCAGAAAGCCTCCCAAAGAGGCCCACCTACACTGACCCCTCCCTTATGGGCGCTGCTGGCCCTGTGGTCTGACCCTTGGAAGTGCAGTGTCCCTCTGTGCGGCCTCCCTGAAGCTCCATGGAGCAGGAAGACGGGGCTCTGGCTGGGAGCAGGAGCCCCCCTTCTTCTCATTCTCCCATCGCCACCTGTGTTACCTGGGGCAGATTCCTCCCCTCTGAGACTCGACCTCCCCAGCAGTGATGCGGGCTCGGCTTTTCTCCAACCTCTCACTTTCTGCCTCTTTCCCTGGACCAGACTGTTGCCTGCCTCTTCGCGTGGGCTGCCCACCACAGCCACCACAGTGCCGAGGGCCCCACGCCGCATGATGGGGGGGTCCCGGCCTCTCTGGCTCTGCATCCTTCTGCTGGGTGACCCCGAAGGCTTGCCGCCCTTTTCTCAGCCTCAGGTTCCTCATCTGAGAAATAGGTGCCCACCAACATCTGGACAGCTGGGCTGGAGTGTGTGTGCCTCTCCTTCTAGCTGAGAGTCCCTCGAGGGTGGGACCTACACCTCGTCTGTTTGGGTCCCCATGCCCAGGCTAGCACTAGGCAGAGTGGACATCAGTGTCCAGGGCAGCCTGGGGGCAGCGAGCCACAGCATACAGCTGAGGCGCTCAAACCATGGCTGACGGGGCGTCTCTGGCACGAAGGGCCCTCTCAAGTCCCTCTGGCTTTGATAATCTGTGCGTCATGCATGTGGGTGTCCCTGTACCAGCACCTGGCAGGGGGCAGTGCATGGTGGGGGTAGAGCCTGGGCTGGACTTGGGAGATCGTGAGGCCCTGGAGTGGGGAGAGGCCAGCCAGAGTTTACTAGGACAAGGCATGCCCCCTGGCCTGGGGGGCGTTCACCAGATGGATGGAGGAGGGACTGGCAGGGCATCCCTGTTCTCTCCCTCACCTGGCCCAGGTTTCCCAGCTGTGAAATAAAGGTGATGGACTAGATGGCACATTCCTAGGTTCCTTCCAACTTAGAGTCTGGAAGAGAAGGGCCAGGCTCCCTGGGGGGCCAGGACATCTACCCGCTGACGATGCCCCAAGTGCCCCAGCACGATTTGGACTATGTGAGCACAAAGGGAAGAAAGGAGCATCTCTCGAGAAACCAGCATAGCTGCCAAAGGGGCTGGGGGTGGCACAGGACTGAGATGGCACGGAGCCTGGGGGTGTGTGGAGGCTGCAGCAGTGCCAAGGACATCAGCTGATATCTTTGCAGAAGTTGTATGGGAAGGGGAGAGCACAGAGGGCCGGGCTGTCTGCTCGGTATGAGGGTGGATACTGAGCCACATCTCCGCATGCCCCTGCCAGCGTGAGTGTAAGAGCCCAGGAGTTGGGGGGACACCGGCCCAGGCCCTCAGGCCTCCACCGTGGACAGAGGAGCAAAACCACAGAGCACTGGGGAACTTGGAGGATCCCGGAGAGGGCCAGGCAGCAGGGCCCCAAGGCAGAGAGAATTAAAGGCAGGGCAGTGAGCACCTGGCCGAGGATACAGCGGCCACCAGGGCTCAGCGAGGGGTCACTGAGACAGGGCCCCTCACCCTGGCCTCACTTCCTCTTTTGACAGGGTTACAGTAGAACAGTTTGGGGTGGGAGTGATGTAGTGTATCTGGCTTCCAGCAGGGTATTTGACAAAACAGGGCTGCAAGGGAGGTTAGAGTGCATCCTCCAGGGAGGTCTGGTTAAGGGGCCAAGACCAGACAGGGAGAGGCCCTGATGGTCCGCACACCTTGGGTGAGACTCACAGGGCTGACTCCTCACGTCAGCAGATATGCTCAGGAGGGAGAGCCGACCGGTGGTCCCGGAGCTGGGATACAGAGGAACTCCACAGGCTGTACTCAGTCAAATAAAGGGAAATGTAACAAGAAAAGTCAATGTCCTTCGCTGGGTCTACACAGTAAATGCCCCCTCCCCCTACACACAGAGAGAAGAGAGATGTAGCTTACTGCAGTGTGTGTGGGTATGAGGTGCGGGGGTCAGGGGGTTCAGTTATAGAAAGACAGGTTGAGTTTGCAAGGTATGTGGCCTAAACCATTCACTGCATCTCGGTTATATTAACAGAGGCAGAGTGCCTACAGTTGGGGAGGTGATGGGCCGGCTCACTTTGGCTGGCTGATGTCACTGGGAAGATTGGGTTGTATCTGCCCCACATCCTCAGAGAGGAAGCTGGAGACCAGCTAGGGGTGCAGTTTTAAGAGAAACTGGACAAGCCTGGCTTTGAGAAGCAAGGACTGAAAGAGGCAGAGGTGAAATCAGCAGAAAAGGGCAGGTGACTTGGGGCCTGAGGAAACCGTGGGCTCCCTGTCGCTGGAGGTATTTGAGGAGAGGCAGAGGTGGCTTGGTCAGGAGCCAGACATCAGATGAAGTGCTGAGTGGGTGACTTTCGGGGTCCCCTTCACAGAGAGGTTCTGCCGTTTGGCTTGGCAATCCCTGGTTCTGTGGGCCCTGTCTCTGCCCTTGGAGTTGGATGGGCCTGCAGCTGTCCCGCCTACCCAGGCAGCACCCATCTGGGCTGAGGCCAGGGTATATCTGGGTCCACCCGCTTCAAGTCCCATCCCCTCCCCTTCCTCCACGTTCCTCTGACTGCAGCGGGAAGAAGAAGTCCCTGCCCCTGCCTAACTCCTCTCCCCTTCCTAACACGGCAGGGCTGGCCGCAGAAGGCCTCTCTGTCTCTCAGCGTCTCTACATGTCTGTGTGGGGATCTGTGTGGGTGTGCCTGTGAGTGTGTGTGCTTTTGCACATGTGTCTCCATCCCTTCGAGTCTGCCTGGGCTCTGTCTGCCCTTTCCTGGTGGCTACCCTTCCCCTCCTCAGCCAGAGCTGTGGTGGGGTTGGCATACCGGCCAGGCTGTTCCCTACTTCTGCTCTGGGCCTGGGGGTGGTGAGCCTAGCTGGCAGGCCTGCCCTCAGAGGTGGGGGCGGTGGTCACCAGTGTGGGGCTCAGGCACACACACTTCTTGCAGGTAAGAGGCAGTGTGCACGTCATCGTCTTGGAGCATGCACGGGTTCCTGCCTGGGCCTAGGCCCAGCCCATGGAGGTTGGCTTCACACAGAGAGGACATTTAAAAAAATAGAGAGAATTTAAGGTTCCCAAAAAAAGAGTTGGGGAGGGAGAAGGAGGTGGTGGAGGCCGAGGTGGGGCTGGGTGGCAAGTGACTGTCCGAGAACTCTGGGTCCTGGTGACTGGATCCCTGTGGGTGGGACACAGCCCCTGCCCAGGCTGCGCCCATCTGCCCACCTGGCTGGCCCAGGGAGGGCACCATATGGCTGTCTGCAGAGTCTGGGCGGGCGGTGGGCCGGGGTGGTGAGGCCGGCCTCTGTGGCCGCAGTGCACCCCAGGACTCTCGCCCAAGCGTCCGTGCGGCCTGGCGGGCTCTCAGGAAGCGAAGTAGGAGCTCTGCATGGAGTAGAGCCGGTCGATGGGGTTCCCCACACGGGCCTGCAGGGAGCCCACGTCCGAGGAGCCTAGAAAGCAGTCGCTGAGGCTGGTTAAGGAGGTATCACTGTCGATGTCGTGGAAGATGGAGTCATTCCCTGGGGGCAGAGGGCGAGTCAGACCCGGGGTGTAGGTTGGGGCTCCTGGGGACCCTGTCCACCCTGCAGGTGTGTGGCTGGATGGGAGGGTCGGACAGGATGACCTGCCAGCAGCGCCTGACCAGAAGGGCTGAGGGCCATGGGTGGGGTCTCAGGGTACCTCCTTCCTGTCAGGAGGTGGCAGGTGGGCTGTGCTGGTGGGGCTGCCTGGGCCCTGGGGTGGGAGGTGGCAGTTGTGGCCCCAGGCCTGCCAGGTCAGGCAGGGGGCAGGGGTGGTGCCGGGGTGGGCAGCGGGTGGGGCAGCTTACCATAGGGGTTCATGTGGTCACCTGGCATTTGGGGTGGCGTGAGGCCCTGCTGAAAGGGGTCGCTACTGCCATAGGGACTCTGCTCCATGGCCACGATCTGCTGCTGTGGTGGGGCCAGTGGCGTGTAGGAGGCCATCATGCCCTCCATGCGACTTGACAGGACCTCTGGGGAAGAGCATGTCTTTACCACCCAGCCCTGACCCCTGTCCTGGAGCCCCCAGGAGCTGTCAGAGATGTACCCTGGGAGTCTGCACTGACTGCCCACATGACCTCCCAGGCCAGGGTGCCAGTGCAGCCCCTCTGCCGTCCTCCGGGCTTCCCCAGGTCTGCCTCCACCTCCAGTGAGGTTGTCAAAGGCCTTCAGGGCCACTGAGCCCTGAAGCAAGGGTTCAACCAGCTGGAGCAGGGGGATGGTATGCCAGGCTGAGAGGCAGCAAAGGCGCGGGGCAGAGACGCTGCCTGGTGGGACAGGGAGCCCAGCGAGTGGGGCTGAGAGAAAGAGAGGGGTGTTCCCTTGGTAGGCATGCTGGGCTTCCAGGGGTTCAGGAAGCCAGGGGAGGGTCCTGGCTGGGGAGGATGGTGGAGAAAGGCTGGTGGTGAGGAGGGGACCACTGGGAGGAGGAAGTTAGGGGCAGTGGCTGGGGTCCCTGTTAAGGTACTTGTAAGACAGCTACTAGGACACAATGAAGATGGGACAAGAAACCACCACCCCACTGGGAGACAGCAGATGCAGAGTGTGCCGGAAGGGGAGGGTCAGAGGTGACTCCTGGGTTCCAGCACAGGCACTGGGGGTGGAGGGGCACTTGCTGGGACGGGCTGGGGAGGAGCAGGGGGTGTTGCGTGTATGTGGCACAGGGCGGTAGGAGTGGGTGCACCATGGTGTGCTGAGCTCAGGAGCCTGTGGAACCCTCTTGGGAGGCTGTCTAGGAGGCCTCAGGCGACAGTGGAGGGCAAGCCTCCGCTCAGGAGCCAGTAGGAGACCCAAGGCCGTGGCTGGAGCCCCAGGAGGCTAGGCTGTCTTGGGAGAGGCAGAGGAGGAGCTGGGCTCCGAGGTCACAGCCTTGGCCCCTGCGTATGGCCTGGGATGCTGGCCTGGCCCCCAGAGCCTGGGCAGGAGGGGATGCCCTTCAACACCCTGGCATCTGCCCTGGAGCCCCAGTCCCACCTGAGCAGGCAGCTCAGGGGCCCTACCCACCTTCAGCAGCCCCAGGGGCTCCCTGTGTGCCCCCTTCAAGGCCCTGAAGGCTCAGTGTCCATGGGGCCTAGGAGGCCAGTGTTGGCCCAGGATGCAGAGATGGCATTTTGGCGAAGCCCAGGACTGGGGAACTGGCACCGACCCTGCCGGCAGATCACCTGGGTCCAGTGCCCACCTGCCTGTTCATCTTGGCCCCAGCCTGGCTACCTGCCCACCTGCCTGCCCACCGGACAACTGCCCACCTGACCACTCACCTGCCTGCCCACCTGCCCACCTGCCGGCTCACCTTGGCCCAGCCGCTGGGAGTTCTGCTGCTCTTGCTGCTGCTGGTGCCGCCGCGCCAACTTCTTCATCTGCAGGGGACAGGGTTCATGCCAGCCCTGCCCACGCACCCTGCCCCACCCACCTCAGGCCAGCCGCCCCTGCCCCCCACCTCCCACTCCGCCCCACCCAACCCAGGGCGGAGGGCAGGCAGCTGCTCACCTTTGCTCTTTGGTTCTGAAACCAGACCTGGACCACACGCACGCTGAGGCCCGTCTCTGCTGCCAGTGTCTCCCGGACCTGCCCCGGGAGAGGGAGGCAGGTCAGGCCTGGGGGAGGCGGGGCAGCAGCTGGGAGGCAGTGGGTGGGGCTGCGGGATACCTGGGGAGGTGAGGGATGTCCCTGCCCTCAGCAAGGGCAGAGGGGTGGCATTGGAAAGGCAGCGGGTATGGGGGAGTCAGCCCCCTCCCCTCCAGCCGCCCCTCACCTTTCGGCAGGGCTTGGAGGAGACCTCAAAGGAGGCCTTGAAGGCTCTTCGCTGCTGCGTGGTGAGGATGGTCCGCGGTCGCTTGGGCCTCCGAGGGTCCTTCCCGTCATCCCCACTGCCCTTACTCTGGCTGCCCTGACCCTTAGCTGGCTTCATGTCCCCATCTTCGTCCTCGCTCTTCACTGTGGGGGACACAACAGCCCATCAGGTTTGTACAGGGGTCTCAGCCTTGTACCCCTAGGCGATCTGCTGCCTTCCAGGATCCTATCACCTCCTGCCAAACACCTGCCTCAGCTGGCCTCCGGCACCCGGGGGGTCCCAACCTGGCACCAGCCAGGCCCCAGGACCCAGAGAGGAGACTCCAGGGAGCCTTCTTCCTTGAACCTTTGAGGGACTCAGAAATGACAGGCCAAGATGCACTCCAAACATTCTCACACAGGAGTATTCCTGGCCACAGCACGCACACGCATGTGCACATGCACGCACACACACAGGCACACTCACTCATTGGCATGTGCACATGTAGACTGGCGTGTGAGCCCACAAAGGCTGGAGTACACACAGCTCACAGATGTCTTCACATACACACAGGCTCAAGCCCCCAAGTGGAGCCATACAGGCAGACACACACCCACGTACATGCAGAAGCATGTGCATTCACCCAGAGACACACCCACAGCCATGCACACATGGCCATGTCCAGGCCCTGGTGTTTGGGTCTCAGAGACGCCAGTCCCAGATGGAAAGCAGAGTCCTCCCCGCTCGCCAGCTCCATGTGCCTTCCACCGCCTGTGCCCCTGCATCCAAGCTGGCCTCTTCCCAGGCCCATCTTCTTCAGGTCGCAAGCCCTGTGCAGGGGGTGGGTCTGCACTTCCTCAGACCCGGTCTGAATGGGCTGGTGGCACCTGGACAGTATCTGGCACGGAGTGGTGCCCAGGGATGGACAGAGCAACAGGTGGATGGGGAGCTCATGACCTCCTCCAAGGGCGCTGGCAGTGGCAGCTCTTCCAGATGGGCGGACCTTGTGGCCACAGGCCCTAGCTTCCCCAAAGGGCCCCGCAGACCAGGCACCTCCTCACGCACTCCCTCCTCCAGGCACTCCCCACTGCTCTGGAACAACAGTGAGCTGGCACCCTCCCTTGCTTTCCCCTCTTTAAGACATTCCTGGGTGGTCCTGCCCTCCTGCCAGGAGCACTCCAAGCTGGCATAGTGCTCTTGGAGGTCTGAGCAGACTAGACATACCTTCATCCTGAGAAATGGGGTCTTTTCCTCTACCACAGAGGGCCCCAGTGCCCCCACCCAGCCAGGAAACAGCTCAAGGCTGTTGCTCCCCACTGCTGAAGGCTTTGGGGGGACCAATGGAGAGAGGACATGTCAGATCCCTGCCTCCCACACATCAGCAGCCACAGACCCAGTGCTGGTAGAGGCCCATGTGGTACTGTGCCATGGCGGGGTGGGGAGGGGTACATGGCAAGGGAAAAAGGGTGAGGGTGGTGGGCCAGCAAGCAGGGTGTGTGTATGCACATATGTGTAAACCACATACGTGGGAGCATGTGGATAAATGTATGTGTACAGCCATAGGTATGGGTGCTGGTGCATGCATGTGCTGGATCATGTGTGCACACAGATGTGTTTAAGTCTGTGCACACATGTGTATATGTGGGTGTGGGCTTTTGCATGCCTTAGGCATGAAGTACATGTCTACACATGTCTCTGTATATATACTCCTGGGTGTAGGTGTCCACACGTGTGTTTTATATGCTTGTATGTGCATTTGTGGTCACATGCATATATACATGTGCACAAGTATGTGTGTCTAGTGGAAATATGCACACATATTTGCATTGGTGTGCCTGGGGTGTGTGCATACGTTAGTGTCCCCGAGTACGTGCATGTGTCCACATGTGTATGTATGTGAACACATCAGGGCACATACGCATATGGAGGTGGGTACGTTGTCTGCGTAGCCCTGGTCCTGGGGTCAGGACTGGGCTTCTCTGGCAGGGGCCTTCTCCATGCCACCTGCCCCCTGGCTCCAGCCATGGCTCACCAGAATCAGACTCATCGGGGCTCACAGAGCTGAGCAGGTCCTTCTCCTTCTCGTAGTCCCCCTTGCACAGCAGCTGGCCCTCCTTGAGCACAAACTCGTCGCCCTTTCGGAGCTGCCGCTCACACACGCAGCAGCAGAAACAGCCTAGGTGGTACACACACTCCAGCGCCCGCATAACAAACTCGGTGGGGGCGATCTTCTCCATGCAGCCACTGCACTTGGCTGCGAAGAGCCTGTGGGCACACAGAGCGGGCACATTGGCTGGGTTCAGGGGTCCCTCCCAGAGGCCGCTGCCCACAGAGGGCTTTGCCCTCCTGCCACCCTGACCCTCCAGCTCAAATGGGAGAGGCCCTCTCTGGGCACTGAGCCAGATGGTGGGGGGTCCTGCAGCCCTACTCCTCTGGCTCAGGGCCCCAGGGTGGGCACTGGGCATCCTGCCCAGAGGTGCCCTCTCCTGGGTGTGTCAGCTCAGGGCCTTTTCCTGTCAGGGACACAGTGGCCACTAGAGGGCAGGGTACAGAGTCAGCCTCAACCTTCCCCGAGAGCCAGGTGGAGCCCTGCCCTGAGGGGAAGGGCCGCAGCCCCCAGGCCCCAGCCACCCTCCCTCCGGGACCTGCTCTGCCTCCTCCCTCGCCGCCCCCCCACCCCCGCATCAAGCAATTCCCAGCCTTGTGCAACCCACCACCCGGCGTGGGCCCTTCCTCTCCTGCCTGAGCAGTTCCCTCCCTGGGCTCCTGGCCCCTCCATCCCTTCAACTCACCCTCCAGAGCGAGAGCCAGAGGGATCCGTCTAAAACATATCTGATCATGCTGCTTCCCTGCTCCAGACTCCTCCATGGCTCCCAAGTGCCCTTGGGAGGACATCTAAGTTCCTGATTTGGGCACTCAGGGAACCTTCAGGCCCCTGCCTCCTTCACCCTCTCTGTTCCCCAAGGCTGTGGCTCCATGGAACGGCCTGCGGTTTCTCCAGGCACCATCACATTGGCCTTTTGACATGTTCTTTCTCTGCCTCTAGGCTTGGCTAGCACCTACTTAGCCCTCACTTCAGCTTAGGTGCCTCCACCATGACTGGGCATGTATAGCATGTGAGCCACTGTTCCAAGCACTTTCATGCAGAAAGGCATTTAATCCTTGCTATGAGACAGGAACAAATATTAATCCCATTTTAGAGATAAGGACATCAAGGTGCTGAGAGATGGGGTCACTAGCTCAGGATCACATGGGCTGTGAATGCTGGAGCTGACTCTGACCCTCGGCCACATCGGGTCCTCCATGACAAAGTGGATCCATCTTCCATCTGCAAAGACAAAGGTGGGTGGGGGTCTCCACACCTCCAGCCAGAGTGTGCACAAGGGTCTGAGCATCATGGCCCCTGCATCCTGGTCACGCGCCTTGCTCTGTGGGAACTCAGCCTCAACAACACTTTGATGGAAAAATTTATGAAGAATCAAATTATAGCTGCTGGGAGAGAATTAAAACCATTTTTCATTCGCCGCGTCCCCGGGCCACGTCTGCGGGCGCCACCTTGGGAGCACTCTGCACATCCCATTCCTCTTTATGGCCCGCCATCACAGGCACAGATTACAGCTGCAATTCTCTGCTAATCGGTTCTGGAACAGAAATGGCCATAAATGCAAGGCACTCGGCCTGCCTCCCTTCCCAGGGGGCTGCCATCAGCATCGCCCACAGTGAGCTGGTAGGACTTGGTGGACAGGGCCAGTCTGAGCTCTGCCTGCTGCCCTAGCACTGACCAGGACACTCAAGCCGGGGGCATCCTCAACAACCCCTGCCATTCACCTCCAGTGTACCCAGCGAGCTCCTACTCATCCTGCAATGCCCAGCTCCAAGTCACCTCCTCTGGGAAGCCTTCTTTGATGCCCCAGTCTAGGGAAGGTGGCCTCCTCTATGCTAACGTGAGCTTCCTTCAGGCCTTATTACCCTCTATTGCAAAATGGTGATGTTAACAGGATCTTCCCCAAAGGCCTGCTGTCAGCATTCATTGACACTGAGAGTGGAACTCAGTGAGTGATTACATCAGAGTGATATATGTGCCCCATTTGCAGTTCTCCGGAGATGCCACCAGGCAGGACCTGGCCCCACCTGAACCTCAGGGAGGCCTCAGTGAGTGTTTGCAGAGCAGGTGCGTAAAGGCTTGGGGTGGACTGGGGTCCAGGTCAGGCTGTCTGCTCCAGGCAGACAGGACCCCACTCGTCCACACAGTGCCTGGCTTTGCAAGAGGAACATGAGCTGGATTTCAGTAACAATTTGGCCCTTTTGCTGGATACATTTGTTCAGGGCACAACCTATGCACCTGTCTCCAGCAGCCTTAGGCAGAGGCCCCTAGGAATCTGGCGGGCAATCAAGCTCTGCCAAGGGGCTGGGGAAGGAGCCAGGCTTGTAGAACTCCATGCTTTTGACCTGCTCACCCCACTGCCTCTCTGTCCCTCCCTATATTCTACCTCCTGAGCCAGGGGTCCCAGTGAGGTCTGTAGCCTGGACCATTGAGCCCAGATGGGCACTGGGTGCATCTCTGCCAGCATGGCAGGACCAGGGTCCCAGGCTGGGGTCAGCACACCTTGGATGGCTCCCAGAGAGGAGGCCCTCTTAGCCTAGGGGAGGGGGCCTTAGCAGGAGGGTGACCTGCGTTTGCAGGCACTGCCACCTCGCAGGCTGCGTTCAGAACAGCCGTGCTAATGCCTTGGCAGCAGGGGGTCGATTGCTACTTTCTCCAAACTCATCAACACAATCTATTATTAATACTCCTCCAAAGGCTCGGTGCCACCATTACAGAGGCAGCGCCAGCCACTCGGGGCATCATCTGTTATCTAGATTGCAAAAACTCAGGAAATAAAACAAACCGCACACACTTTATAAACGGAATGTGCCATCCGTTTGGTCTCCAAGCATCTCTGCACCCAATAAAACATCGGGGGGGGACACATGAAATACTCACTCCCAATTATGGGGCTGCCTTTGTCTACCGAGCAGGGTGAGAACTACTAATGGCATGCGTGGGAGGGGTTGGGGTGCCAGCAGGATCTCCTCCTCTTTGTGAGCCCCCACGTCCTCCCTCAGTCCCTCCCACAATGAAGAACTGATGGAACCACTCTTTGAGAAGCAGGCCCAACCACAGGCCAACGGCCCTGGAATGAGAGACTTGGGTGCAATGCCTGGTGGCCCCACTTGCTGGCTAGTGACTGGGCAAGTCGTTTCCACTTTCTGAGCCTCAGGTTACTTCTCTGTATAATGGGCTCAACAACACTGCCTGTGTCTCGATGCGAAGACGCAGTGAGCGGCCAGTGTGAAGTGGCCAGCACAAGCGGTGGTCAGTGGCTTGGGGCAGGTTGTCTGAGACCAGGAGGAGGCACTGGCACGAATGCTACACAGCAGAGACAGAGTTGCTCAGCTGAAAGGCTCCCTGTCTTCTCGCCTCCCTTCTGCTGTGGGGCTCCAGAGCCTGATGTGGCAGCACCCAAGGCCCTGGATTTGGGACCTAGGTTCTGATCTTAGTCCTGACTTGACCACTCTGTGACCTTGGGCAAGTCCCAGTTCCACCACTGGTCAGGATGGGAACAAGAGTTCCCACTCCCCAGAATTGGGCTGGGGATCCCAGATGGGTGTGTTTCTGATTCCCACACTTGGACTGGGAGGGTGGGGTGCTGCAGGAAGGCTCTGAAGCTCTGATCCAGGAGGAGCTGCCCTCTAGCTGCCTCAGCCCCTCAATGACAGTCTCCTCTCCCGGGCTCCTGCCCCCCACCCGGAGCTCCAACCTGGAGGGCACATTAGGGGTACCCGGGCTAGCTGGCAACCCACACAACCCTCTCCCCCATTTTTCGTGGAAACTGCCGAGTCTTTCCTCATGCTGCCCCTCCTGCCTACAGCACCACCCCCATTCCCAGCCCTTGCCTGGCAAGCACGTGCTTATTGGGAAGGGTTTAGCTTGGGCATCCCTTCCTGCAGGAAGCCCCTGCCCTCCGCTTTGAGTCCCCGGTCCTCACACCACCCCAAACCCATTGCAGTACTTAACCTAAGGACTCCACTTTACATATTTCCAGGTCCAGCCGCCCCCACGGTCACCTCTCTGTCTCCAGTGTTAAGCACAAGGCCCCCGCGTGCACCAAGGTGGGCAACGAGTGTCTGCTGAATGACTGCTGGAACCAACTCACGCAGTCCTGTTCTGCCTCTGAGTCCAGGCAAATCAGTCCCCACCTGCGACCTGGCGTGGAGGGAGCCCCAGCCACCTGCCTGGGGGAGGAGGCAGCACTACCTGGGAGGACACCAGGCAGCCTGGGGTTCCCTCCTGCTCCATAACTTCTCCCCTGTGTAGCTCTGGTCAAGACATTTAACTTCTCCGAGGCTCAATTTCTTCGCCTGTAAAATGGGCAGCACGGCACCTACCTGTGAGGTGCTGGGAGGGCTCGTTGGCGCGTGCTGGCCTGAGGGATGTGCTCCGTGAGAGCTGCATCTGCCTCCCTCTGGTTCCCCGTGTGTTGGGCTTACCTCTGTTACCCCCCTCACCACATCTCCGCCATTTCTGGGAGCAGCCTTCCTGACCCCAGGTTTACAGGTTCCACCCATGCGTCCCTCTCATGACCACTTGGGTTCTGGTTCGGTCCTTCTAGCTTTTGTCTTCCTGAGCTGGACTGAACACTTCTGGCTCAATTCTCTGTCGTTAACATTATTGAGCTCAATTACCATCTACCTACGTCACCTCTTTAAATCCCCACAAAACCCCGAAAGGGAGACACAGTTTCCACCCCCATTATACAGATGAGCACACTGAGGTGCAGAGGCAGGTTCAAGGTCACACAGCAGCATCACCATAGACTCCCTGCCTGCTCTGTCCATCCAAGCGTTTCTTTCCTTATCAGCCACCCCTGTCCTTTGCTGTGAGGCCCCTGCCCCTTTCCGTTTGTCCTCAAGGCTTGGAACACCCCCAGTTCTTATTACCTGGCATAAGCCCAGGACCCAGTAGCTGTGGCGAGTGGGTTTTCCTTAAAACAAACTGAACATCTGCCCCTCCCAACACATCGCCTGTCTCCCAGGATCATCTGTGATTGTGGAGTCAGACATTCCCCTTTTCAGAAACATCCTTCCCTTGAAGAGTTCCAGTCTCTGAGAACACATCTCCATCTCCTCTGAGATTTTGTCGGTTTATTTGTTTAATGCTTAGCTTATTAAAATCATAGTGCTAATAAACAAAACTCTGAAAACCAATTTTTTCTGGAGCATTT